TCGTCATCTTCTTAAGGACTTCATCAGCGTAACTGATTACATTGCACAGAGCTATAAAGGTGATACAAACAGATATTTCAATCAATGGGCGTTAATTTAAAAAAAAGATTAACTATGTAACCGTGAAGCATATTTAATGAGTATCACTCTCACTACATAAACAGGATATAGTATATAAGGTGCATTTATATGAACTACAGGATTAATCTATACCAAATAAGATGATGTTATAAGTATTCATTTTGTCTTACCATATATTGATCTATATACTGATCATAACTAGGCATATGCCTTCACTAGTTACCTTGTAAGCACACCGCTATAACAAACATCCACTTGTTTCTAGCACCAATAGAGAGAAAGAGAAGGACACAAAATGACACGAACCCAGTAACACTTCCCAACCTCCTCATACCAAATCTTCTAAGTAGTGCACTTGCAATGGGACCTATTTAAAAGCAATATAAAGTGTTTGACATTTAAAATTACTGTACCTTTATACAATCATGTCAACTACAGAAGAACTCCTCCTTTAGGACACCACTTCTCAGGGGATACCCTTATTAAGTGGACACTTTTTTTCGTGGTCCAATCAATACATTTTAAGCCATATTAAGGTACACTTTTTCTTACATTAGACTCAAATAAGAAAAATTCATTGAAATTTACATTTTGAAACCCTTTTGTGCATGTGCTACTTAATATAAATACAATCTTGTCAATTTTAACCAAACCATGGTGATTTCTTGTTTTATGTAGTTTCATCTATTCCAAATAACCACCTGCATTTATATTACTCTATTCATGCTATTTTATCTAGTGCATCCGATAGAAGGCTGTATATTTCAAAAACAAAAATATTTTGTCATTAACATTGTACTCAAATCATGACACAATATCGAGAACATACTGTACAACTTTTGTTGTTTAATTACATTGCTGTTGATTCATATCCTAATTGTTTTTGCATAGCAAATTCTTGTTATTAATTAGTTCAATTCAACTGTAACTCATTCTTAAGTCAGTTATAATAAAATTATAAATAAATAAATGTAATAAATAAATATATAAATAAATGTAATCATTGTATAGGAAACATGCCTAAAAACCCTATTAAGGGAATAATTTCACGTTTTTGGTCAGTTTCCCCTGAATAGAGGTGTTCCCTTCAGGGGACACTACTATTAAGGGATAGAGGTGTTCCTTTCAAGGGACACCACTATTAAGGGGAAACTTTCTTTTTTGGTCCCAAATGTGTATCATATGATCAACGAAAGGTAATTCCATGCAACTAAACGGGCCCCTGCTCTAGATTGCAGTCACAGCATCCCAAAAAATAAAAATGTTTTTATTTTAGTACATGGGAATAACTTCCATTTATTATAATTCCCCATCAACCA